TCACACACTGAGTCACATTTAGAGTCTTCACACACTGAGTCACATTTAGGGTCCTCACACACTGAGTCACATTTAGGGCCTTCACACACTGAGTCACATTTAGGGCCTTCACACACTGAGTCACATTTAGGGCCTTCACACACTGAGTCTGTTTCTTTCAGATGCATGTTTTAAACCCGTCATTTGAAAATAATCTTTACCCACAGAAATCTCACACCGACTCTGATGTGTTTTATTGTTCTTTGTGAAAATTCACAACAGGAGACAAAATAAAAGACATGCCTCTCCACTGGAGTCACCTATCTGACTGACATCACTTCCTGTCTTTAATTTGCCATCACAGCTGCATGAAGGGGCGGAGCTGTCCTTCACATTCTGTGTGTGGTGCACATCCTCCTCCTCTTCATCATCATCCTCCTGAATATAACTATCTGACCTGTTAGTGAGCTGAGTTATGAAATGTTCCTCTGTCTCGTCTCAGCTGTGTTTCTTCACTGATTCAGTCAAACGTCTCTAAAGGCTCTGATGGACGAGGGAAATGCAGAAATCAAACCTGTTCCAAAATTTTTATGACAGACGAAAGTTTCAGACTCGGTGTTGAAACACGACAACGTGAGGTGGAAATTATTTGTGTGTGAGGCCGAGCGTCTGTTCAATCTAATTAATGACTGAAGGTTCATCAGACTGTGTTTGTGTACACTGACCAACAATCAAACCATATGGACCATCACCATCATCACCCCCCCCCCCCCCCCCCCCCCCCCCCCCCCCCACACACACACACACCCTCCCACACACACACACACTCCTACAGTAGGCCACTGGGTCAGTGTGTGTGTGTGTGTGTGTGTGTGAGAACTGAGCGGCTGCAGTCATCAGGACACATCAGTCAGTTAATCAGTTTGAAGATCACTCAGCCAACAGAGACACACACACACACACAGCTCTGAAACCTTCTTCAGTGATTAATATCTCCATCTCCAAACATAATATCCTAGTAATATGTGTGTGTGTGTGTGTGTCTGTGTGAGTGTTAACTGAATCAGATGAGGAGGAGGATGAACAGTCTGATGAAGGCTCAGTAAAAGGGTCTCAGCTGTGTAACACAGATCATCAGACAGCATGCTAACAGCATGATAACAGCTATGCTAACAGCTATGCTAACAGTTTCCCTCTGCTGTCAGTCTTTGTGCTGAGTAGCCCCGCCCCCTGAGACTCAGAGATCCCTCTGTCAGAGACCAGTCACTGCTGCTCAGTGTGCTCTACAGTGAACTTCTGAGGACGTTTTGGTCCCCAGATTTTCCTGTAGAGCACCGTCAGAGCAGCAGAGCACCGTCCGAGCACTGTCAGAGCAGCAGAGCACTGTCAGAGCACTGTCAGAGCAGCAGAGCACTGTCAGAGCACCAGAGCACCGTCAGAGCAGCAGAACACTGTCAGAGCACTGTCAGAGCACCGTCAGAGCACAGTCAGAGCAGCAGAGCACTGTCAGAGCAGCAGAGCACCGTCAGAGCAGCAGAACACTGTCAGAGCACCGTCAGAGCAGCAGAGCACTGTCAGAGCACCGTCAGAGCAGCAGAGCACTGTCAGAGCAGCAGAGCAACAAGCGCAGTCAACGTGTGATGAAGCTCATTAATTCATGCAGAAACCTAACGCTCTGTTTCCTCAAACAACAACAGCGCTCTCATTTTACCGCAGAGCTTTCTTTACTCATATGAAGTCAGGATAAATCACACAGGACTTGCTGTGTCCGTATGTTGCTGTGTCCGTATGTTGCTGTGTCCGTATGTTGCTGGGTGGAGGCTTTATTGTCTTCACATTTTATTGTTTCTTATCTGTGAGATCAAAGTAAATGAACTCTCTGTTTCCACTGAGGGAAACATGGTTTCAATTTACACAAATAAACAGGAGGTCTGCGTCACCCTGATGTGCGGTTACATTTCTGGGGAGGTGCACGTCAGGCTGAAGCGTAGGCGGAGCTTCTACACAGAGCCTGTGCTGTAGGTGCAGCGTCTGTTCCAAACAGAAGTACAGATCAAGCCAGGAAATCTCCTCTGCTGCTTCTGATGTTAATCTGTTCTGTGACTTTAAAACTGAAACATGAGTTTTAATTTCAACTCCAGTCTGAATGTTTCAGAGGAGGAGAGGAGAGAGGAGAGAGGAGAGAAGAGGGGAGGAAAGAGGAGAGAGGAGAGGAGAGAGGACAGAAGAGGAGAGAGGAGAGAAGAGGGGAGGAGAGAGGAGAGAGGAGAGAAGTGGGGAGGAGAGAGGAGAGAGGAGAGGAGAGAGGAGGAGAGGAGAGAGGAGAGAAGAGGGGAGGAGAGGAGAGAAGAGGACTGACCAACAGGCTCTAATGACCATAACATGTGGCTGTTATTGAGCTGCAGAAACTTGAGGAGAAGAGGAGGAGGGGTTAAGAGAGGAGAAGGACTGACCAGGAGCAGTCAGGCTCCATGTTTTTGTGGACAGTGGCACTGCAGGAGTCCAGACCGGGCAAAAACCCTCCAAAACCAGATGAAAGGAGGGGGAGGAGTCAGAGGAGGACTGACACACTGACATATTACTGAGTCGTTGTGTTTGATTTTAAACTTCTTAGGATCCATTTGATTTCTCAGTTCTTTTGGTTTTACAGGCTGTTAGCCACTGTTAGCTGATGTTAGCCACTGTTAGCTGATGTTAGCCACTGTTAGCAGATGTTAGCTGATGTTAGCTGATGTTCAGGACGTTTGTTTTGTTTTTTCTGCTGTTGTTTGGTTGGTTTGTCAGATATGAGAAGAAAAAGAACAACAGAGAACAGGAGGAAGATGAGATGTAAATACGGAGAGAGAAATGTGTCAAACATCAGAAACACGAGTTCACTTTATCTACACATCACTGTGACATGATGAAGATGAAACTAATCTCATCACCATGGCAACAGGTCCTAAGTACAGATCAAACTCTCAGAGGAGGATTCACACCACACACACACACACACACACACACACACACACACACAGATCCTTGTGTCAAATCTAAAACCCCTCATGTCACCCCCACTCACCCTGATTACGATGTTACGATGATGTCATACAGGCAGTTGAGTTACATCACCTTCTTCACTGTCTGCCTGTGAGAACCTGAACATCATCATCATCATCATCATTATCATGTTTAGATCTCTGATCAGCATCATCTCCACAGCCTCCTGCTGCTTCTACAAACTGTCTTCAAACTCACTGAACTTTATTTATAAACCCAAACGTGTCAGGATCAGTTCTGAGAACAATCAAACATTGAGTCATCATCAGAGCGCCAGTTCAATGACATCACACACAGTCACCTGTGTGATCCTGTCTCTGCTGATACGATATGATGCTGTCAGTGACCTCACGGCTACAGAGAGAAAAGAGTTTACCAGGTGAATGACATGAAACATCAGTGTCACAGGTGAAGTGATGGATCAGCTTATATTCTCCATGTTGACTGACATCAGCGTGTCAGCAGACCAGATGACATCACAGGTGGTCGATGTTTTTCTGTTGTGTCTCACAATAAAAGCTCCAGACTGACATCGTCCCGTTGTCCCAGGGACAAAAAGAAAGAAAGAAAGAAAGAAAGAAAGAAAAAAAACAAAATGCAGATCTTCCCCAGGACGCCGTCGGGATGAAAGGACGCAGTGAACTCACTGTCAACACATGACAGGACGCACCTGTTGTTTCCTCTGATAATGTGACATCATGAACAACAAATATGTGATGGCATCAGCAGGAAGAGAGCT